CAACGATTAGGTGAGGTCAAGGCCTGAACAACTCATCTGTGAAAGAGACTTGGTTTAGATCTTAAGATAAGGAGAAAATTCTCGTTTACTCTCATGTTTCTCAGATATTTACAAATACCTTTATGCCCATGTAGTGAAAACAATTGAAGCCAAACAACCTACAACAGCCAACAGAGCCTTTTGGTTGCAGAAATGACCAAGCAGCCCACATATCTATAATACTTCTCCACTCCCAAGCAATAAAAGACACTTCCACAGGGGTAATAACAATGCTGGTTATTTGCTTGTGACTAGCATCAGTCTGCCAAGAAGCTGTTCTGACATCAGGGTAGTGGGGAAGTGACTGACGTCCATCAGATAAAAGTCTAAGAGAAACTTTACATGATTTTCCCCACAGGGTTTTTAGCCTTCCATGCTGATGTAAGGCCCTGTTGCATATATTCAAGATAAGACTTTGATTATATAGTACAAAGCAGCTTCATTCAGAAAGCTAACAATAGCACAAGCCATCGCTTTCTTGTCAAAGCCTGTGCCCATGATTTCTGTTTGCAGAGGGACTGGCCTATTTTTCAAATACTTAGTTTTGTAAAACAAACATACTCACTCTTCACAGTTCTCAGAACTGCTGCTTTGATTTTCTCCCTCTAGTTCTGAGCTGTTAACTCCCAGAACAACCGTTTTAATTAGGAACAAAATCCCCTTTAGCAGAGCTCTTAACACTTCCCAGTAGCAGCACACCATCTAGATCTACAGTCCAGGTTCAAAAAAATAAAAGCAGATTTGTCATTTATAAGCCATGTGTTGTGGCAGCAACCAGAACCAAGGGGTAAGCAAAAAATCTGACAACTAATAAGCTGACACAGTAAGCCAGGTCACAGGCTCATCTCACAGCACAACTACAGCAATTTATGTCAGAACCCTTGAAATTAACCACAGTAGCATCATGCCTAGGGTTACCCAAGGTCCTTGGCAAAGCAACTACAAGAACCAGCAATTTTGCAAGCAAGATTACCTTTTACCTTTCTATTCCCTTCCTCATCAGATGCAACAACTGAAACTAATTAGGTTTTACTGCTATAAAGGATTCTTTTGTAGCTCCAAAGATGTTTATTTACATGTTCATTATATATACACTAGTAATACATGCATACTGTATTAAATGCCAAACCTAAACACACAGGCATTTCTGATTCCTTATGCTGACACTGGGAATAGAAAAACTCAAAAAACTTCATTCTGAGCTGTGGCTTGGATAAGGCAATGCATGATCTTTTAAATCAATGTCATTTTTACACCATCTTTTAACTCCTAGAAGCTGGGAAGAAATCAAATTGGTATTGCTGAAAGAAAATTAAATATTTAAAGTCATCACAAGAGTAGCTGAGAAAATTCTCAGAAGAGATGTGCAACTACTTAATGTTTCAAGTAATGTTTCAAGTTACTGCTAAGATTTTATTAAGAACCTTTTGGGAGCTGATGAGTTCAGCCTGACAACCTTTCACCGGCCAACTGTCACAACAGCTCTGAAAAGATTGTTTCAACTTTCCCCTCACTCTTATGCAGCAAGGTTTAAAGACTAGGCAGTAGGACAAGGACAAGTTACCTCATACTTCAAGTTAAACAAAGTGGCTGTAAAGAGCTTAGTTACACAGTACTAACGGCGTTCTCACCCCATTTCCTTTACTATAAGGTAGTTATGCACGGACAGGAAAAAAAAAAAGTAATTCTGGAAAGTAAAAGACTTATGAGGAAAATGTTTAGGATGTACGTACATATAGAGTTACATGTTCAGTTTTCAATCAGCTGCAAAAGCCGCATTTGGGCAATGTTCCACCTACATTAATGTTGTCTGAAAAGTGCTCTAACATCCACAGTATATCCATAAACCGCTCCAAAGGTCTAGACTAGAAAGAGGCAGAGAAAAGCATGCACTCATTGTAACACACCAAGTATGAATCACCAGTTTTGCTATTGAACACGCTACTGTGTTACTATATTTTATGTATCTCCGAGACAGGAACACCATATAGCTGGAAGATTTTTCCATGAATGCACCTCTAGTCATAATGCAAAGCACATGCTGTTACTGTCTCTACTATTCCACTTTTGGCAGAGAGCAAGGTTTGAGCTTATGCTACTGTCTGCAGCACCAGACGGAAAAGCACCCTTCTAAGCATCGGTGTCTTGCCTGTGAATTTCTTACAGGAAGGTGGCTTAAGACAGTATAAGGTCCCAGTTAACATCACACAAACTCTTTTAGGACCAAATCCTAAAGCCTAGCAAGTCCACACAGTGTAATTGAGCCATTTTCATTTCTGCAGACTTTCATGAGCACTACATGTAACCAAGACCTCCCCAGCATCTTGCTGGATTGAGCTATAAACATCCGACCTCTACTCATATCAAGTTATGTTGAACTTCTGTACAGAGAAAAATCAACCAGTTCTCCTTCCACCTTTGTTGAAGAGGTGGAAACAGGAAGCCACCAAACATGCCCAGAGAACACACATTCTGACTGCAGCACAACAGCAAAATGCTTGTATTGAAAAGCTGATTAAAGGCAACATGTGAACACATGTTTTTTGCTTGACATGAGTGAAATAGAAAACCCTGGCTTGATTTTGATATCTTCTGCTCAAAGATACTCCAGATGCTGTTGAAGCTGCTTTCTCTTGGAGAAAAGCCCTCCCTTTTCATTCTCCTCAGTGACAAAGTGGTAACAGGTAACAAATTGGTACCAAACTTCAGTAAAATTAATGTATAACACATCGTACAAAAGCAAGCCAAGCTGATCACTGATGAGCTGCTGTTGGGATGTTTTACATAACCATGGTAGCAGTTTATGCCTTACCAACAGTATTATGTTATCTCATTAGTGTCCAACATCTTACCCTTGAGAAAGCCAGAGCCAGGTGGCAGTGCTCATGGGAATAATCCATCATTGAAAGCCACGGAACTACTTTAAGTTCAAGGTTTAAGATCAGACCTTAAAACACGTTATGACAGGACTTTAAAAAAAATATTTCTGTAGCTCAATTCAGATTCTCCATGCAACTCGAAGTAACATATCCTCTGGTAGGCCCTCCAATGCAACAGCATGAATTATCTAATTGCACTGTGACGGTCAAGTGAAAATAATTTCAAATTCATAGCATAAAAGCAAAAGCTGCAGAAAATTCACCTGATCTTATGTGCCAATGCAAGAAAGTTTCAGCTGAGTTTTGCTGGGAGGTTTCCCAAATATTAAGGATCTAGTCCATGACCGAACTGGAACAACTTTATGCTTAGCACAATACAGATTTTTGAAGTTGCAGCTAAACCATTAGAAGCTCTGGCTTCTTCACTCAGAGGGTGGTGAGGCACTGGCCCAGGCTGCACGCAGAAGCTGTGGCTGCCCCAACTGTGGGGGTGCTCAGGGCCACGCTGGATGGGGCTTTGGGCAGGTGAGAGGTGTCCCTGCCCATAGCAGGGGGGTACAACCGGGTGATTTAAGGTCCCTTCCAACCCAAGCCATTCTATGATTCTGAATTTAAAAAATTATAAAAAAGTAAAAAATAAACAAAAGGAACATGTTTCAAGATAAAAATCCCAACCATCATCAATGTTCCTTAACGCTGTCAGCTTTAACACAGTTTTGCGCCATTCTTTCCCATTCCCACGTCATACTGCAGTGTACGGCCACAAAAATGCTCACCCATTCCATGACTGCAGAACTCCTCCCGAAACCACGCTGTTAACCGGATATAGATATTGACCTGGCTTAAAAATAAACCAGCACAAAAGTGCATGCACATCGCTAAGTTGCACAGAGCTGCGGTCTTGCCAGCAGCCCCAAGGAGGGCAATGCGCAGTGGCAGAGGCTGAAAGAGAAGGAACGTTTGCCCTGGGGTCACCACCTTTGTGCACTCTGCTACATCAAACTACCTGAAAATCAGCATGTGAACCTGCCACTGGTGTCAGTGGTGACTTCTCCCCCCCACACACACACAAATCAAAACTGTCAAGGCAAAAATAAGGGAAACAATATTATTATTACTTTTTTATACAGCACAGAAGAGTGCAAAGTTACAGGACAGCAGCGTGAGTCATGTTCGTAAGCAGCCATTAGAAATCCTGTCAGACAGTCCCTCTGCCAGCTACATTATAAAACACCACCTGCTAATGGATTATCAAACAATCGTCTGGGTATAGGTCTTAGAGAAAGCAGTGCTTTTAAAAACATCAATCTTTTCTGTCCTGATTGTAATGATTGCTTAGGGAGAACCATAAAAGTACTGTTCACGAGCCAGGCAAAAACTGCCTGTGTAGTTCCTAGAAGAGAGTATCTTCTAATTAGAAGATATCTAAACTAACTCTCTTAGCTTGATAAAGTAACATTTGTTGAGTGTGTTACCAATTATTTGCATGCATTTATGAGAGCTACGCCGTGATTAAAGCCCTTCCTCGGAAGGGAATTCTTGGCCCCCGCTGCAGCTGTGCTGCAGACAGGCTGATCCCAGCGCAGTGCCAGCAGGCAGATGTCTCTGCGTGACCTGTGCCGCGGCTCCTACCTGCCTGGACGGGTTATCAGCGACACGGTAACCCGGAGCACGACACCCAGCTCCTACCAGGAAGTCCGCAGGCACCACAGGTATCCGCGAGGTAACGCGCCGAGGAGCAAAGGTCGCTCCCTGAGTTCCTGGAGGCCGATGTGAGGCACCTGGCGGACCCCCGGGCCCCGCCGCCCCTCAGCTCTGCCTCCCGGCGAGGCAGCCCCGCGGGCGCTGTGCTCGGGGCAGGTGTCCCGGGGCAGGGCTCGGGGGGAGCCCTCCCGCCCCGCACGGCCGCGTCACCCCCGGGCACGCTCCCGGTGCCGCGGGACGAAGCCGCCGCCGGCCTCGCCTCAGGTGCGGCCGCCGCGCTCCCCCCGGCCCCTCGCGGGGGCGGCCCCGACCCCGACCCCAGCCCCAGCCCCAGCCCCAGTCCGTCGCCTCCCCGCCGCCCCCCGGCCCCGCGCCTACCATCGCGGCTGCTCCGCGCTGCTGCGCTGCCCGCGGCTCCGCTGAGCGCCGGCCCGGCCGCAGGAGGCAGGGGGCGGGCGGTGGCGGCAGCGAGCCCGCCCTCCCCTCCCCTCCCGCGCGCGCAGCTCTCGGCACGCCGCCGGGACGGGACGGGACGGGCTGGGCTGGGCTGGGCTGGGCCGGGCCGGGCCGGGCGGGCGCTGGGGCTGGCGGCGGCGGCGGGGAGCAGCGGCTGCCCCGCGCGGGGCCGTGCCCATAAATGGCGAAGTCTCCGCGGCGCAGCCAATCGCCGCCCGCCCTGCCCGCAGGGAACCCCGCCCCCGCCCCCGCCCCAGCGCCCGCTCCCGGGCTGCGGCGCCCCCCGGCCCGCCCAAGGGGCAGCGGCGGCTCCGGGACCGAGCCCCGGGAGGGGACGAGCGGTGACCCGGGGCCGTCACCCGGCAGCGCGACCCGCAGCCTCCCTCTCTCCCTCCTCCCGCTTCAGGCCTCGGCTCCGCCGTTCGCCCGGCCCCTCTCCGGGCACGTCCTTGTCGGATTGCTCAGACACAACCGGTACCGGTGTGAGGGGGGGATGTTTGCGTTGAGAGAGGAGCCGTGTGGTAAAGGTGATCTGCGACTGCCATTAAAACAAAAACACACCTGGGAAGCGAGCAGGAACAGAGCTCCACGCTTCGCTTCCCAACAGAAGGCAGCAGCGGTTGCGTTGTACGAGGACAGAAACAATTTGCCTAACATCTCATTTGAAAATGGAAACGTTACAGAAATTTGCAAGTCTAACATAAAAATCAGCGAAAGAACTTGTAAGAATCCACACAGCATACAGAGGACAGGCACGACAGAGTCTCCCTAGGTTTTACAGGCTTTTCTATTCGCTTTGGATTTGGGTGTTTCTTAATGTCTAGGTTTGCTTTCCTAAGACACACGTTTGCATGTATGTGTCTACATACAAACAACTTTATAACAAGCTATGATAAACACAGGAAACACAGGATAATTAAGGTTGGAAAAGACCTTTGAGATCATCTGGTCCAACCATCACCCTACCACCAATGTCACCCACTAAACCGTGTCCCTAAGCGCCAGGTCCAACCTTTCCTTGAACACCCCCAGGGACAGTGACTCCACCACCTCCCTGGGCAACCCGTTCCACTCTTTCTGAGAAGAAATGTCTCCTCGAAAAAAAAAAAAACAAGCAAAGAACTCAGTTTGTGGAAGAAGATTTAAAAAGTGCATTTGCACCACATAGCTACTAGAGAAACTAGTCCCAACTTCCCTGCATTTTACATGTGCTGCTAGGGTCCATCTACTGTAGATGGACAAACAAGATGACTTTTAACAAAAAATTCAGAGCCGAAAGCATCTGTGCTCTGCCTCTGTACTAACCTTTGCACAGTGTGTACCAAGCAGTCTAATTTACAATAAAGTCTTTTCATGCTTTTAAACATAGTGGTTTACTTCTGCTTATTTTAATGGTAAACATCGAATTCCCAAGCTGACTATATTAAGTGAATGATACTTATTCAACATCCATGCTCAGAAGCAGGGGAAGGCATTTCCCTTCCAATGTGAGTGGTGGTGTGCCTAAATGTTGTGCATGCCTGAGCTCCTCCAGCTAATCATGAGTAACAGTCATCTCTGAGGAAGGCAGAACTCACATTTTCATCTTAAGGAGCTCCAGCAGAGTGAAAAAAAGAAATCTGTGTACATTTAAAATGAAGCACAAAATTTAGAAGTGGTGACATTTATATCATGAAATTCATATTGACAGGTTACCTGTAAAAGACCTAATTTGAAAAGATGCAAGAATTCCCTGTATCAAGAACTTCCATCATTTTTTTCCAGCAAGCTCATTCATGCATATATTGTTTGACAGTGTTGTGTTTGGTTAGCAATACTATTTCATGCAAGGACGTGGTAGCATAAAAAACTATCTTGAGGATATTTTTTGGATGCAAGGAGTTGCAGTGCTTGATCTTCCTGATATTGATCACTATTGCTAAGCTTCAGGGAGACATTTAAGCTCAAGTTTCACTTCAGTGCCTGAGCAGGTTGATTGGCTTAGCATAAGGGACTTGTCTCAGGGCTACAGGCACAGTGCTGATGGATCCAGCACAGCCTCTGCCATCATGCAGTTTGGAGCCTGCACTGCACCAGTCAGTGCCACAAAGAGAGAAGCTGTTGCCTCCTCCATCGTGCAGCTGGTAACCCACACATGTTTCTACCTACCCACAGCCTGGTCGACTGAGCCAGCACAGAACAGGAATCAGGCTGGTGCTAAAATGCATAAAGACTAAATTGTCTTCCAAAATACCCTATCACTTACCTCTGGAAACATCACAGAATACAATCGTCCTGTGCTCTTCATTCTAAAAAAATGTACTGCGGCTTCAGAAAGAAGTAGCTCTTATGAGGAGTCAGTGAATCTGGAAAAGATTAGAAATTTTAATGAAATAGGCACTGCCCTGACTGATTTTTAATTGGCTAAAACAGGCGGCAAAGGAAAAAAAAAATAGCATTACTGCTTTTCTCTTACTCAGGAAATACATTTAGAATAAGTTTTCCAAGCCACATATTTGTGTTCTGTTGATCACAATCATTTCATTAATCACTTAACTAATGCCTGAAGGCCACTAAAATAAGGCTTAATACCCTTAACAAAATATCATACTTTCAGTTAGAAAACCACACAATCTGGTACTTCTTAGAAAGATGAAGGATTTGTATCACAGAAAAGCAAATGGTATTAAATTAAGGTCATTTTAAAAATTCAATGCAGATATCTTTGCTGTATCTGCTTTCCAAAGAATAAACATACACTTCAGTAATCTTAACATTTTCTAAATGCTAAAATGCAGATGGTTACATTCTGCCCGCAGTTACAAGCAGTGAATGTAGAATCCTACTTACAGAAAATAAAGTAAGGATTCAGCAATTTCTTCATGTGAAATGCAGGGAGAAGTTAAATTATATATCTAAAACAAAACCAGAATTTTATGACTTTAAATGTGGTGAAATCAATGATTAGGACAGGATCTCCACATTGGATGGAGAGTACAATCAGTTTAACTCTTTTTTACTCCGTCTCAATATCTAACAAGAGTCTCCTCCTTCCCTCCCTTTTGCTGGCCTTTAATTAGAGAAGCATACCTGTTCAGGAAAAATTCTTATTAACATGTTCATCTAAAATATCACTGGAGTAAATGTACCGTAACAAAGTCAACAGCCTTCTTCACCCCCTGTTTTTCTGAGGCTCTTTTTTTTTTTTTTTTTTTCCCTCATGTGGCTGTTTTACTCTGGATCTGATTAAGAGAAGCCTCAGACTAGAGATGCTCCAAATACACAGTGTTGAGTTCTTCTCCAACTGCAAACTGAAACGTATGAATAATGTTGTTATTCTCAAGGCTGCTATAGATCTGGAAGAACTCCACAAGGACTTGGTAACCAAGAAGTTTTGTCTCCTGTATTCCTGTGGCTTCAGTTGAGCTATGTGGGATCACATCAACAAAAGTACAAGGATTGTATTTGTTTCCTCAGAGGAAGATTTACTAAAAACCTACAGAAGTTTTTAAGATCAAAACTTTATGTTTGGATGAGCAACCTGATCTAGCATCAATATTAGCCCTGCTTTGAGGGGGTAGTTGGACCAGATTACCTCCTGAGGTCCCTTTAAACTTAAATTACTACATTCTGTAATTCTATGATTACTCAGAATGGGGCTCCACAGGAATGAGACAGTAGAGCAGTCCATATAAATGATACTGCTGTGCCTTGATAGGGAAAGTGATCTGAATTTACCTTAAAGAAAATAAATCTGTTTATTACCGATTATACTGAAGATACAGTTATATCAAATACAACAGTTTAGTACTGCTTTAGTTAGAAACATCAAGGAAGCAATATAAGTACAAAAGCCATGGTTTCTGGTAACACAAGTTGAAAAGAATATCTACATGGGTCAAACCAAAGATCACTCACCTTATCGTCCTGTTTCGGCCTGTATGAACACCTAGGGACAAGTGTAAGAACAGACGAGCATTTCAGCATGACCGTCACACCTCCCAGAGCCCGCTGGGGCGAACACTGTTACCAGCGTGAAGGCCTGGAGGGAGAACACAGGCTGAGAGTGAGTCTGTGCATCAGTTTAACGTTAATTGCAAGGCTATAATAGGAAATATAAATGTTGATCTGTTTTTAAAATAAAATAACCTTAATCAATTTGCTTCAAATAACAATTTGCTTTTAAGCCCAAGTCCTGCAGCCATATCTATACTAGAAAACACTACCTCTCCAAGCAGTTCTTTTACAAGGATCCAAAACCAGGTGTGTGAAAACCACACCTGTGCGTGAACTTAGTTGGGGCGCCAGCAGGTGAAGGAACACAGCTGTGCACAGGAACAAACCCGAGCACGCTCAGCAGAGGATCACAAGGACCGGGGGGCTGGTGAGAGGGGTTCCTCTACCAGGTGGCAGCAGGCTTTGGGGGACCCACCAGAAGCCCCCCGATGAGGAGGCCGTCGAGACGGCTAAGCCAAGCTGTTCACAGCAACGCACGGGAGGGGGGGAGGCGAGGACATAAAGTGAGCCAAGGGAGGTTCAGACTGGGTGTCAGGAAAATGCCTCCCCCAGCAACTGCCCGGAGAGACCGTGCAGCCCCCGGGACACCCGTGTGTGTGTCACCACCCGTGTGTGTGTCACCACCCGTGTGTGTGTCACCACCCGTTCGTGTCACCCCGCCCCGCCCCGGCCCCGCCCGGCGCTGCCCCGGCTGCGGCAGCTGCCCCCGCCGCGCCGTTCCCATGGTGCCGGCGTCCTGGCAACGCCGCCAGCTCCCGCAGCGCGGCCTGCGCCAAGGCCCGCGCCAACGGCGGGCGGGGAGGTACGGCCGGCCGGCCGGCAGGACAGACAGACGGCAGGACAGGCGGACACAGCGCAGCGAGCAGCGGGGCTCCGCCGGCCGCGGGGATGCCGAGGAGGAGAGGCGGGCGGCCCCGTCCCGCCGCAGCGGTGAGTCCCGGCCCCCGCCCCCCGCCACCCCTCCCCGCGGAGCCCCCCGGAGCCGCCGCGGCTCCCCCCGAGGTGCGGGAGGCGCCCGGCCGGAGGGCAGGGAGGGGCAGGGACGGGCAGGGGCGCCCTGCGAGGGGTGCCGGCGACTTCGGGAGACGGTGACCAAGCGGCCCCGGTCCGCACGGGACACCCCCCGGCCGAGGGCAGGGCTATTTCGGGTGCCGTCGGGCCGCTTAGCGCCGGGACAGTCCGCGTCCTGCCACCGCGCCGAGCGCAGCCCCGTTCGGTAAATTCAGGATTTGCTCCAGTTCACTGCGCTGGCACAGCACGGCTGGAATTGCCATAGCAATATCAAGCTGCAGGCAGCACCGCTCAGAACAGCGCCTAAACACGCGAAGGCAGCGATCCGACTGGTGTCGGTGCCACCTCAGCACGGCACCGCTAAATCCGGAGCTACGCGAACCTGCACGCCTCCGGTGCTCGCCATGAGAACACCTCGTTGTTCCTTGCGTTTGACACTGGTTAGGATAAAAGGGCGCTCGTTACATACGCTGAGCGAGAGGGAATCCGGCATCAGTCCTGGCACCCAGGTGTCCCTGCTTGCTGCACGCACCTCACAAGCGCAGTAGAGCTCTGTGCAGCCGCCGACCAGCACCTCACCACAGCCCTGCTGAATGCCACATCGGGTCAAGTCATCTGTAATTGATAAGGAGAGATTTCAGTGATGAGTGACGTGCTTAAATTAGAAGAACGAGAAGTCCATCCATGTGCCTCTTGTTTCATGTGCACAATTTGTCCAGACACTTGCATTTAGCTGTAGTCTGGGAGAAAAGCTAAAATCTTCAAGCAACCTTATGCTTATTCTACTCCAAAAATTGTTTTTCAGTTGATATGAAATGTAAGAAGGCTGTAAGAAGAAAACGCTTGAGTTAAGGACTTTTTGTTTGTCTGTTTTTATAAGGAGTGTATCACTGAGGTATTGCTAGATGTACAGACTTTAATGCTTTATTTATTTATTTTTTTTAGGTAGAATCCAGTTCTTTGCCTCTGTGATGCATAGCTCTACTTAAATCAGTGGGATAGCCCTGTGTTCATAGTTAAATTGCACATTCAAATGCTTCGCTTCATCAAGATCATTAAACTGTGGTATGGCGCAGAGCACCGGGAGTAAATGAGCTGCGGCCTACCAAGACCTCGGGCACTACCAGGCAGCTGTACAGCCCCCCGGGACAGCCAGCAGGGGCTCCCCACGGACAGCGGCACCGTTTGAAAAAACGTGGGGAACCACGTGTGCGAGGAGCAGACTGCACGACTGGACATTCAGTGGCTGTGCAGAATTCCCAGTGCCTCAGTCATCATAATGATAGCCAGCTCTTATTCAGGGCTTGTTACTTACAGGCATGTAAGAGCTTAATCGAAGAGGTAGGTACCATTATCTCTGTTTTCCATATAGAGAATTCGAGTCATTAGGCATGGAAATAACATCCACAGTCATCAGGATCAGAGGTTGTGCAAGGAATTAACATCAGACCTTTGGAATTGCAGACTAGTGTCACTGCTGCTCAGCAACCCAGCCTCTCTTGAAACTATTTTTTTTTCTCTAATTTGTAGTTTCTGAAGCACTGTGCTATAAATAGAACACACATACTGTGTCAATGTTTGCTCTGTTTTTAGGCAGTGCTTTCATAAGTTTCTAAAGCACAAACATGCTTGGCATTTTGAAATCTCAGAGGACAGTCCTATCACTTCTTTACAGTCAAAATTCTATGATTTTGTTCCAATAACCCTGTTTTCCTTTCTGTTTGTACAGCATATTGCACCAGGTTTCATCAGCAATTGCAAAATTCTCTTCATACGTAAGCCTCTTGTTTTCAGTGAGCATTTTAGGTTCCCCAGGAATTCAGGCTCAGGCCTTCCATGGGATAGCTATGCTCACTTGTGCCATTGTCGCAGGTTAAAATGTGTGTTTGTTTCATATGGGGTGGAACACTTGGATTTGATTGAGGCTATTGCTTTTTTTTATTGTTTTAATTTCTGTCACCAGAGGAAAGCTACTGTGCCAGGCCCTGATCTCACTTACAGTAAGATACTGAAAATGTCTTTTTGAAGCTATTACCAGAGCTACTCTGCTGCAATGTCTGTCACAGTCTGGCTCACTATATGTAAAAATTAAGAACAAAACGTATAGTCTTCCTACATAAGAATTTACTACATAAAGTGTACTCTTTTAGATTTGAGAACAAATGGGTAAAATACACAGTTTTGCTAAACCATACTGCTCTCTAACTTTCTATTTAGATTACCTGAAAAATACATTATCCCCAGTAATTGCTGTCATGGAATCTTTTCATTTCATTCTCTAGCCAATGCATTCTTAAGCTTTACTATAATCCCACGTATCTCACTTTTGTATTTGCTGATTGATGCCGTCTGAGACCAGCAGACGTATTTGGGTCAAGAAGTTTGTTTGCCTCTGTCCTGCCAAACCTGTTCTATGGGTCGGAGCAGATCTCAGTTGTGAAGTTGTCAACCCTGCCCTTCTCTAGAATACTGTTTTCACTACAAAAAAACCCTTCCTATCAGGTTATAGTTCGCATTCTTTTGTTCCTTTATATCAATTTTCAAATGCATCTATTCCATAAGCAATATTTAAACTCCAAGATCAGACCTGTCAGCGTAATCTTAAACTCCTCTTGAAGGTTCACTTAAAGCAGAAGCATTGAATCGTTTCATGCCAGATATAGACTATTAAATAATTCAATGTGTACTTTTTCAACAGACAAATTATTGACCAGAAAATGGCCCAGCGAAGCCCGATCTTCCCAACTCTTGCCCATTCTGAAAGGTACAGCTGGAATGTAAAAAAAATAAAATAAAAAATCTTCATATTGTGGAGTATTATGTCTCTCTTAATTCTCTCTTAATTGTCTATTTATAGTAATGCTGTAACATAGAACTTTGGCATTTTATATGCAAAGCAAAATGAAATACCCTAGACTCATGCAAATCACGGCCCATATCACAATTCCTTAGTCAGCTTTTACTTAACCCTTTCTGAACAAAATTAAATAGCTTAAACTGTAACTTAGTAGAAGTCCAAGAATGCTATACTTAGGCCAAAGCCTTCTAAACATGGAATAAGTGTGAAAGCTCAAGGACAGACCTCACCTTTAAGAGTTCTCATACATCTCTATCAGTGTTATAAGGGTGAAAGTAAGTTGTCAGGTTGGTTCATTAACAGGAAACAACATGGACAATACACAGTAACTAACAGAGTTCAAAAAAAAAAAAAATAACAACTCCTCTTTTGAAGGGGAGTGGAACTTATGGTTCTGAAAAATTTATTTACTCTTTACAGAACATAGCATTGGGAAATGATTATGTGCATCCGCAGTCTATGCAGTCAATTTGTTATTTATTTTCTTTTACTTTGAGCATCCATGAGCTGCCATTGCTTTTCATGGAAGCTACATAATGCAGAGCTCTTGAAAAACCTAGACCTAAATATGTTGTTTTGTTTTGTTTTAATTTGGCTTCTGAGACTGAGAAGCTTGTCATAATTTTGATCTCTCCTCACGTTCTAAACCTGCATATGCGCCTATCCCATTTGTGGGAGGACAAGCTTCTGTACAGTATTAGAGGATAGCTGTATAGACTGCAAGAAGGGAAGTACACAAGCTACTACTTTTTAATCTTGGCCTGGTCTTATTCAGTTTGCAATATCTACCTTCTACAGTTTCTGCTTTGATTAAGCCTAAAGAAAGATGAAAGCTGTAGAGACAAATAGCATTACTTCTGAAACTCAGTAAGAGGATCTTGGTTTGTGTTCTTATTCCAATTATAATTCTGAATTGTTACTTTTTATAATGCTATTGTCCTCTTCTTAAGATCCTATGCCTTTGTAAGCTTCCTTTAAAGAGTAGGAAAAAGAGCCTAACTTGCCTTTCTACAGGACAGATAGATGCAGTAGCAAGCAGCATCTGTTTACTTGCCGCAGTGGGCCCTCTCTGTAAGTCTTTTGGTGCTTCTCCCCACTACCGCCAGTTTTGTGTGAGACCTTAATAATATCTGAATATTCTTCTTCACTAGACGGGTTCGAAACATACCGCTGCACAGCCAGGCGTTGACAGCGGTCCCGCTGGCATCTGCAAGCCTTGTGGATCAGCTGGAAGACAGAATCCTAAGCCATGAGAAAACCACGGCAGCGCTCGTGGAACATGCTTTTCGTATTAAGGAGGACATTGTTTCCACTCTGCACAGAATGCAGAATAAAGGGGGGGGCGATCGGTTGGCTAGGCAACTCTTAGAAGAACATATCCGAAACATAACTGCAATAGTGAGGCAGCTTAATCGGGATATTGAGGTACGTTAGGGTTTTTTTAAAAGGACTAATACCATTTCAGCTACTTAGTCCTTCTCATTTAATAACAAAGCTTATCACAGGATGAGAAAGTTCAGACAAGGTCTGAAGATCCTGTAAGCTTATAAATTGTTTTTATAACTTGAAACACTGTTTGCAAATTAGGCAGTTCCTTCAGCAGCTATGAAAATAGTACAGGATATTAGCATATAAACACAGAAACCTTTGTGGTACTAATAAGCTTGCTTTCAAAAGCAACACTGGAAAACCTTGAAAAAAAATGAATTAACGTGACACTAATACCCAGCTCAACTTCAATCCAAAGGCTGTGCCGAATAAACACTAGGAAATGCCTTAGGTCTGTAATAAACTTTCTTTTATTTCTGACTCGCTGACGACACTAAGTAGCCAAACCCAACTGCTCATTTTTCTGACCTAATTGTACGCAGATACATGACCTCTGCTCAATGAGCAACATGGGAGTGGTGGGAAAAACTGATGGATAAATGTTAATGTTTAAAACCTTATTCCATTGTCAAGTTCTACTTTATACAGATTATGGTAAGGACAGTAAGAAAAATAAATGACCTAGAGGTACTTGTTTTAGTATATATGAGATGAAGCTTTGATTAAAGTCATGATAAAATGTATCTCTTTTTACTGAAATACTGAAAAATAACGAGTGACATTTAAAATGTACATTAAATGTAACATACTGAATTTGTATTTGCATATGAATACTTTGTAGATGCTGCAGGAACAGATACGTGTCAGAGACAATCTCAGCTATGGAACAAATTCTACCCTAAAGAGTCTGGAAATGCGGCAGCTTTCTGGTTTAGGAGATCTTCGGGGAAGAGTGGCAAGGTAAATGCCAATATGAAAGTATGTTTTGGGGACTAGCTAATGTTGCTTTAATCTTGAAATACGAATGTCAGTGTTAATGGGCTGAACTTTGGCAAAATTCCCAGGGTAATTTTGCTCGGTGTTTTCCAGAAAATGAATAATAATCCTTTGCATTCCAGTATTACGTGTTAAACTTAACAACATGACCCTTAATTCCCCAAATTTGTTTTTAACAAATGACTTCAAATTCCATAGGAATCTGGATTTAGTTCAGTTTTAAAAAGAATCATGGTTAGACTTTAAGACTAATTAGCACAATTACTATAAAGGAGTAATAAAGGTATAATCTGCACTTGTAAAGAACATAATAGATGCACATTTTTGCATATGTGTTAGAGGTAGAAATATGTGAATTAAATTATTGGTTAACCATATTAAAATCTATGTAGGCTACCTGGCACGTAAGAAACAGAAAGCTATAAAACAATTGAGTTTTTACAGGCTACTTCAAACTCCAAGTTACAGCTGTGCAACAACACATACATAAGGTTGTGCCACCACTGACACATTTACAAGCCAAAGTACAACAACATTTGTTTCAGTGTCTGTGAAGTGAAACTTAAAGACGGTTTTGTACAACTACAGAAAAAAGGACCAAATCTGTCCTAAAATATCCTGGCTTCACTGGAATTACACTTGTTCTGAATTTGACCTATTATCTGTATAGTACAGGTAACTTTTATTTTTTCTTGTACTTCAACTGATGTAGTGATAACAGCCTACAAAGATATCCAGGGAGGGATTTTCCTTGAAGTAAGTTTTTCTCATGAATTCTTTGATTGTTTCAAGTTTCCACAGTTACTTCGTAGCCTGCTTTGTAAAGAATACTTTAGACAGGTTTAAAATACTGATTATGTAACTTTTAAAAAAACTTATGCTTTCCTAAAAGTTATTCTTTAGTAAACAGGAACAAACTAGACAAGCTCATTTTGTCAAATGAAAACTTGACTGCAATATATACTGTTCTCTGCGAAATTTTATAGAATCATCGTAGAATGGCTTGGGTTGGAAGGGACCTTAAAGATCATCCGGTTGCACCCCCCTGCTATGGGCAGGGACACCTCCCACCAGCCCAGGCTGCCCAAAGCCCCATCCAGCCTGGCCCTGAGCACCGTCACAGTTGGGGTAGCCACAGCTTCTGTGTGCAGCCTGGGCCAGTGCCTCACGACCTTCTGAAATAAGAATTTCTTCCTAATATCTAATCTGAATCTCCCATCTTTTAGTTTAAAGTCATCAGCCCTTGTCCTATCATTACCCCCCCTAACAAAGAGTCCCTCCCCAGCTTTTCTGCAGCCCCCTTTAGGTGATGGAAGGCTGCTACAAGGTCTCCCTGGAGCCTTCTCTTCTCCAGGCTGAACGACCCCAGCTCCAGCCCTCTGGTCATCTTCATGGGCCATGAGGATGGATGCGACACATGTACATGCTTGGATCTTCCTGCTTTTTATATAAAATGTCCACTTTGAGATCCAACTACATCGTAAGACTGGTCCTTATCTGGAGCAACACAGATACTGACTGCTTGTGCAGCAAAGTAAAGTGCCTTTGGTTTCAGGAGAGAACTCACATGAATAAACATGTGCCAACATGAGCTTCTCCATGGGGTGCCGCCTGACTGAGTCCTTGGTATGGGGAGCGGTGGTGGACTAGCTCAGTCTTTGCCAGGATTTCTTCCTTTATTTACTTAGGGCAACTCCCTTTTATTCTGCCTGGGTTGCAACCTATCTGATTATTTTAAGAGATTATACCAATCTGCCCTTATGTCAGCATGAACAATGAACGTTGGAAATTTGTATTCATTACCACAAGAGAATTAGTTTGTCTTTTAACTGTTACCTTCTACTCAGTATTATAACCTACATTTTCTCTGTGTAGATGAAAATAAGCTTCCCTTTCACCAGAAATCAAGGTAAAGCAGTGGTCCATGAGAGAAGGTTATTTTCCTTCACCTACAAACACATTCTACTTCAAACTCCCGTGAATAATGGTTATGGTATTCCTAGAGATTATGATCAAAATTGCAGTTTGTTGTGCTATACAGATACTTACCAGAAACTTTCCCTTGCATATTTCCTGATTACTCTAGCCAATACATTACATAAAATAAGCCAAACTCACCTACTATAATTTTACTTCAGCATCTGGTCTTACTAGCTCTCACATCAGTTCAGAGAGTGAAAGCTTAGAAACACGTTGAAGCTACTGTGGGTTACCAACTTGGGTCCATCAGCTAACCCCTGCTCTCAGCCACAGCCAGGGTGCTGTGTGTGGCTCAGGCTGTAGTGACACTCGGCTAATTTAACTCAAAGTACATCACATTTGCTCTAGGCTAGAAGAATACACACGGACTACTGCTGTGACTCAGTTTGTATACACTGAGTGATGGTAAATCACCTGTGTCTGAGCCTTTGGATCCTGTAAGGATTTTCCTGTCAATCTCAGGATCCTGGCCAAATTTCAACGCCAGTAATTACACGCATACTAAATATCCTATTCAACTTCAGTATTGGAGAGAGTACTATTTATTTCCCAACACCAACTGTTCTGTAACATGTCAATATATTATTGAACAACTGTCTCATTAATTCTTGAGGGTTGCTGCTTTTAGCGGTGAGAACAGGGATCCCTACACGCACGTGCACTTGAGAGGCACAGCTCCAACACCCCACAGCTCTGGAGGCGTGTGACTCGGAGAGACCTCAGGGCTGAGCGCACCTGCATCACAGCATCAGCTCACAGCCCTAGCAGGAGAGGACGGAACCCACAGAGCAGCTCATGTCTCTGGGCCATTTTTCATTAAGAATTATTCATGAATTTGTAAAGCATCATTACGGGGTTCAGCATGAATGATGCTGTCCATATTCCATTATCATTAAGACAGAATTTACCTCTTTTAAAAGCAGTGACACACTGAACAGAAAACTAGATAGATACTCATAGATCCATTAGCCCAGCCTCCCGTCCCTGATGTTGGTAGTTTTATATAACACAGCTTTACTATGTTTATTTCTAGTGATAAATTCATACAACCATAAAATTCATGAGTGCTGCCTTATCATTTATTTACAGAATGTTCTGTGGACTATGACCACTTGTCTGGGACGTTGAAATACAGCAGCCTTATAAGAACAAGAGCAGTTGCTGTGTCTAGAGGTCGCCCTCTCCTGAAAACTCCAGAGAAATAGCAATGATACGTGTTCACATTGGGCCTACTAGGCATATATAGTTGATTTTTATATACATTATAGATCTGACTCATTTCAGATGCCCTGGACTTAAAACATGTAGGCAGATTTTCCTACACTGAGTAGAAAATGAGTCTGATGCATCTGGGATGCGCTGCATTTATGATCCCTGTAAGTAAAATAAATCTGCTGCACTCTCTCTACTGGTGATGTACAAGACATACAGGGAAGACTGATCTGGCCTCCCAGGTGCAGGCCATGTACTAGCTCTGCTGTTCCAGCCCAGTGAATCCCCTGGATGCATCAACTTGTTTTTTCACAACCTTTCTTTCAGCTACCTGTTTTTCACTGAAGCATTGATAATTTAATCAAAACATCTCCTATTATTAAAAAACAAACAAACAAACCAGAACATTACCAATCTGTGCGTGCCGTTTTAGCATAGTTCTCAGCTTTTTCTAGTCATTGATGATACTTCATAGAACAGCCATTACAGTTTGATTTCTTAGAGACGAAAGACAATGAAAATATTCTTCAGTGTGCCAGAAAAGGAACTATTGCTTTTGCTTACTAACATTTGGAAGACAGCTGCTTGATAATTTCACTGTTTTTATTAAACATTACTTTTTTTTTTTTTTTTTTTTAATTTATTTATACTGGATTCTGAAACTCAGAGTACTTGGAACTACAAAGTCTTCTCTCCATTTAGTCTTCCTACACTAATTTTGTTTAAGTACGCAGTTTGGTAATCATAACTTTTAGAAAATGTCCTCCAAAGTTAAATAACAGTACAACAAACCCGTCCTAGTACATTTTTGGCCCAAACTTCAACAGTGCATGTGTGCAACTGCAACATGAAAAACTGTTGTGAATAGTTGGTGTGGCCTACTCTCTTCATTTGAAGCATGAAGACATTGTTGTGCATTTCTTTGTACAAAATGGTTTTCTATAAAATCTTAAGTGTTGCATAAGCTGGAAGCACAGCTATTTTTTTTCAAATTGATTTTTTTATATCCTTATCCTCAGCTCTTACATTTTTAAATTAGTATTCTTTCTATAAATCTTAAACTATTTCTCATTTCTTTCCTTGAGCTTTTAAGATGACCAGACCTCAAAAGTTGATTTCAACTTTTGTCTTTCTATCCATAGTCCACTAGCTTCATCTATAGTCTGATCTTACTATTAATTATATTAAATATTTCTGAACATTGGATTTAAATAGTACTTTTACGAAGGATTTATTCTAATTTTAACATGAATCTATAAAGAAGTCAGAGCTTTCTGACATATGGAAAATCGAGCAGGTATTGTAATGTTCCTCTTATCTGTAAACAAAGAAAAATTCCAAACTATAATGAACCACTTATTTTTCAGATTACCAATTTTCTCCCCATCCATCATGCAGGAGGAAATGTAAATCAAAAGTATTGGAAAGACCATGGTTTTCTGTATGTTCATCTTCATACTGTTTACTTTTTTTCTGTACTATTTGAAGGCTAGTGGAAGCATCGACTAAAATTATTTGCTATAAGTCTTAAACTCAAAATATGTACTCACATAACTGATATCAGGATCTCATTCTTTTTATGTAGCATACTAGTGTTCTTTTGCAGGTAAAAACTAATCAGGCATTTTGGATTACATACAACATATATAGCAAAGAGACTGCTTTGACCACTTGAACACTGAGAATATTGTTTTAAAAAATAACCCAGGATAAAAATGAAGTACATTCCATAATTACATTGATATTTAAAATGTATTCCAACTTTCGTTTTAAAAGGGTGCCAATTACAGTATACCTGTAGAAATATTAAAAGCACAATTCATACATACCAGCTTGACACTAAATTAACAGTCAGAATTTTTAAATTTTCAGTTACCATACAACTACATGACCCTTTTGATCATGTAACCCAGTTCCACAAAGAAGAGATGCCTTATGATTAAATCCATAATGCTAATTTGCCTTAAAAGCAATTACAGAAGCCTACTCTTTTACTTTTGGTACAGTAGTTTCAAAGCTGTTGCTTTTCATATTTTCTGTAATGCCTCAGAGAAACAAGACTTTTTTATTTTTTTAATTTTTATTATTTGAGTTCACAGGCTTTTGGTGAACAGATTTAGCTTCTCTTGCCTTTCTAAAGGAACTACTGATTCTAAGACCTATAATTCACTGCTGTGTAAACCTATTCTGCTCTTTCTACAGATATTACTAATCAATCTTGCTATGCTGAACTGCTCAACTATAAATTATTTTCTACAAGTTTTCTAATTTGTGATATTTTACATTACTTATTATTTTCATATTGAAATTGTACTGTCGTATTTATAGTAACAGTTGTTACTGTAACCAAGGTGATGAAAGCACATTTTGAAGTGAAAGCTTTCCAACTGAAACCTGAGTTAAAAGAAGTTAAAATGTGTCATGGCTTTGCATAATGACTTAACCTGCCATAGTTTGTCCCATTTTACTGCCTTTTTCCCCTTTAAATTGTAACTGCTGTCTGTTCTTCATCAGTTTCAGAGATCAAATTTAGTAACTTTGGTTATTATACATCTAAAATATATATATATACACACATGACTCATACTTTGCAGGGGTCTTACTTCTGAAATTACAGTACTTATATTTGTGCAGCTCAGTTAATGTCCTTATTGTATTATTGTAGATGAAATCCACCTGATTAAAGTATTTTTGAAATGTTGTAGGAAATGCATGTATTCTATAGCACATTTGCCCTTAAAATGTTACAGCACTGAGAAATGTTCCAGCGTGAAGAAAGGAAAGTAATTATTATGTGCCAGTACTGCATTTTGGAGTCTTTAGCAAGACAAAATTGGCATGGCTTTAAATGAGGGCTTTACCTAAATACAGACTGTATTAACTAAACCATAACTTTTCCCCACATTGTTTACTACATAGATTGTGTACTATTATTTTGCAGAAGAAAATAAAAATAGGAATGTAAGACTCAGAGGAGCACAGCTACAATAATGGAAAAGTCGTCTTCAATTAGTTAGGCCTCTAACTATATAGGCCAAATCTTACAGGCCATGACAGCTGTCTGCTGGAATATGACAGAAGTATGACCCATTGAAATCCTGCGTATCTTTGAAATTGTAATGTGATTACCCCAACTCTGATAACAACACAGTCTACAATTTGTGCCAGAGCCAAGAAAACAGGAGCGCATCAAATGTTTGGTAGACTATTTGACTTGTATTCCTATTCAGGAGCAGTTTGATAGATACTGTGAGATATATCAGCATTCTAACAGCCTCATAAGACAATATTTTGCTAGACAGCCATCACTATCACAGAAATACCCAGTCTAAAATGGATAATTTTAAAAAGCCTGGACCTTATGTTCTATTCAGCTGTTGCTTTGGTATTTGTTTATTCAAACAGGTGTGATGCCGGGTTAGCCAGACTGTCTGCAGAACATAAAATTACATATGAAAGACTTCAGAGCCTAAGTAAAGACCAACATACCTCTAAGCTGATCTTAGAATCTAAAATCAAAGAGGCAGAAATACAGGTACAGTATTTAGACCCAAGTGATCCACGTATGGGTAAGAATTATAGTCTAATTCAAACACACACCATTACTGTTAATGATTTTCCTGGGAGTTCAGAGATTTAAAGATGGAGACTTACATCTACTCACAGTCCTTATTAGACTGAATATTGCTACATAGCTACATTACTGCATTGGTCTAACCAGAAAAAAGTCCTTAAATTGTTGCCTTTTGTATGCTGTGCAGAAGGTCCTAGTGTTTAAAGGTACCCACAAAGTCTCCAGGAATGAACAACCATCAGTGACTGCTGATGTGAACAGTTTCTTGAGGTCAGAATGTTAATGAGACATGGATGTTCTACAAAACCACCGTAATAATGCAAGCTTGAGGTTACCCTGTATGTTTTGGCCTTCCCAAAATTATTTTGTATACATTTGAACACTATTTTTGAAGGTCAGCAAAACAAATCTGTTTTGTGGTTCTCAGAACCCCTTAACTTATCTGTTGGGTTTCTCTCCCATTGGGTACGAGAGTGGAATTGAGCACTAAATACAAGCAGAGTCCTGAGACACTGCAAAAAAAGGTTCTTCATAACTCTGTCTCAAAGCCTTCTCATTTTCTTAGGTAACAACAATATTTTGCACCTTCACTTTGTGGGAGGTAAATGGTTAAAATTCACTTTTCTCAGAATACTCAGCATGCCAGGAATATATTGTCATGAATCGTGTAAACAGAACAGTATGTTTTGTACTGCCACAACTGCTTTTGTGAGAAATACTTTACATTAGCAATAACCGATCCGCACTTAAATCCAGCACTGCAGTAGGCAGTTACATGAGATGTGCTGAAGACTCTCACCTAGTTGCAGTGGAGGGGTCTGCACATGTGGCCCCTGGTGATGTATGGATTGCGTAAATCCAGCTGCCTCAGAGCAGGACGATGCTTTCAAGGCAAGGCTGTTCACTTTATTGATGGCTGTAGAATTACAGCTTTCACAGTGTTTCTACTTTTGTCTTGTGAGACAATATACTTTTCATGATAAAGTAAAATGCACAAACTCAATAATTTTGGAAACATCAGCACTACAGCCCTTCTTTATCACTTCTACTGATACAGAAATGTCCCAAATGAGACTGTGGTGAAATGTTGTTGAAAAATAGTAAATTCTGAATTGTTTCAGATTTCTCATCTCCTGAGCAGAGTGGAGCAGTCAATAATGCAGCAAGAAGCAAAGCTGAAGGTTGCGTATAAGGAGAGCACGCAGCAGCTCCACCTGCTGGACACCAAGTGAGTGAGCTGCCATCGGCCCGAAGAGACGATCCCATTTTTAGTGCCCCAGAGTTGTGGTATTTCATATAAATACTTCTATTTTGTTTTCATTATTTTCCAAAACAATGTTGCCTGCCTTGTCCCATTTACTAGCCTTAAAGTTTGAAGATTTGCCTTGATACGGTGTCAAGAATGCAGTAATTATCATTAAATTTTTGTGATCATCATAAAAGAATGGTGCTGAATGACTGAAATTTCTGCTCTTTTTATCTCCTAATTTGTATTATGCTTTTAGATTAAAAAACGCTATTGAGGAACTCAGCAGCCAGATTTTGTCTGCACGCAGCTGGTTGGAACAGGAACATGAAAGGATTGAAAAAGAGCTTGTGCAAAAGCTGGACCAACTCTCATTGACTTTTAAGGAAACCACAGTAAGTTTCATTACAGTCTCCTAACACTTCTCAGGAACTATTTAAAAGCATTATTAGTAACTGGGACTTTCAGACCTCACCAATAGTTGCAGAACTCTTTTCATTGATATCAAGCATAGCATTCCCATGGCCTGAGAGTCTTGAAATAGATCTGACCACTTTAAAAACATCAGTATTTTAGCCTACTATCAAGTGAATTTAAAGTGTTTTCTAAAGTAAATTTTAATTCCTTACACCTTTAAATCCCACATAAGAAAAGATGATTAATCAATACCTATTGCATATCTGGGAAACACCACTCTAGTTTCATACACAAAAGAAACCATTAAAATTATTTTTCCTGGCTCCAGGAAATAAGTGAAAGAGCTATAGAGATGAAATTCAACCAAATGTCAGAGAAAATTGACAAAATAGAAGAAATACAGAAGATTACCATGGAAGCACACGAGGCACAACAGAATGAAGAAAAGATAAATATTCGCATTGGCAAACTTCAAAATGAGATTAATGAAGACATAAAAGAAATGAAAGCTGAAGTTAATGCTGGTAGGACTATGATCGATCGAGATCTTTCTTCTGAATTGCGGTAACAATGACTGACCTTTAACACTGTTCAAAATGTCTTTGTACTAAAGTATTTTAAAGACACTGGGGCCAAACGTAGTGGTTGCATCTGTTGCATTTAAAAGGGCTTTCACTACGCGTGAAGCTCACAGAAACAAGAGGTGACATCTTAATAGCTTAGAAGTGCTTCCCTTGAACATATGTAAGCATGGTTTGGCTGCAATCAGGGGCATTATTGCTATCAGCACACCAGCATAATTGAAGTCCTATTTTTCTTCAGAATTTTTACTATCATTCCAGTGTAAAATTGAGTGTTATGGTAGGAGCCATATTCTGATATTAACTACATCATACTCTTTTGCTTTATATTATAGACTAATTCAATTCTCATGTGCAATTAGGGTTTGCAGCTATCTATGAGAGCATTGGGTCTCTACGGCAAGTTCTAGAAGCGAAAATGAAGCTTGACAGAGATGAACTACAGAAGCAGATCCACCAAATGAAGCAGGAGATTCCAGCATGGGGAGAGGCTGGACCGTGACTGCAAGATTTTGTCTGAGATGAATATTTACCTGGCTAATAGGCAGACTATAATCTTGTTCCAGTCTGTAATCCAAATGTAATGCATGTACCGAAGGACATGCTGCTGTTGCACAGGTTTGTATGTTTAAGTGGTAAATGCAAGCTTTTAACAGATCAACTGACAGGAAGCTTTTATGGGCTGAGGTGCTGATTTACCACTGCACTACTCTAGTTGCTCTCAGGAGATTACCAACGTAAAGCTAGAGTAATATATTGGTGAAGCTGGCACCTAACTTGCTAAAGGCATTTCAATGCTCCCCAGTTTTGTAGGCTTGATCAGGCAGTTATATGCTTATAAGTATAAGCATCCTGATATATTCTTTTTTAAATAAGAAGTTGGTATCACTTGTTTATTATCAGTTTGGCGAGGTTCTCCACCTTGATACAAATTACTATGTTTGAAGTCACCGGACATTTTTGCAGTGACCTTCTCTACTATTGACTCCCGGAGGAGACAGAATTGGCACCAAACTGACCAATTTTCAAAACTTAGACACTGTCAGAAAACTTTTGTTTAGCTGTGCAAATATTCTGTGTGTGTGCATACGCGTGTGTGTGTGTGGAAACTAAATAGTATTATATAATGTAGTTGTAGACTAAGATGATTCATGACAATATAAGAAACAACTTGTGGTCTTACGTATTGTGACCTTTTTAAATGAATAACCAAGTAGACTTGAGACAAAGTAAAAAAACTTATATACAGTATTTTATAAGCTGGGCATGTGTTCCTGTGACTTGTTTCATTATATTACTATGGATTTTGAAAGGTTTGAAAACAAAAGAAAAAGTGATGATCTGGAGATAAAGTCTGGAGAATTTTGTGTAAAATGAAATGCAGTTTATGATCTGCTTAACAATTTCTATTGAAGTAAAACAACTAACTCTTCAAATTTAAGTAGATTTTAATAATTTTGTAGGTTCAAACTGGTAATTCATGGTATTTCCAAATAATAATGGTGCTTATTTCCATTCCCATAATAGTTTACATGCTGAAAATGAGCACCCATGCAGAATAATAATCTAGATGGGAAAAAATATATTTTGATTCTTTATCTTCATTCAGAGCTTATTTTTGCTTATGTTTTCAAATCACACAGGATTAAGCAGTCTTGAAGTATAACAGGCTTCATCCAGTATCCTATTAATTTATACAGTAAATAGTACTTCATGTGCAAAAATACCATTAATTCGTACAAGTGTTACTGCCAACTTGTACAAGTTGATACAATGTCTTTCCATTGTCTTTAACAGGCCTTTCTTTTAGCCAATATTTCAAAACCATATTCGTGTTTGGACAACCAGTGGCAAACGTCTCATCACTTCCATGAACCAAGGTTTGGCCCACACAGTCACCATATTAAAAAAACGCTCCAAAACTACATGTGCATTAAGTAGGACAGTGTACTGTGTAAAATCAGGAAAACATACATGTCTTTACAGGATTAGTGCCTAAGTTGATATTTACTTCCTATATAGTTGAAAGTATCTTAATGCATCAAAGATATCTGAGCTTTTTTGCAACTCTGGCTTCTAGTGCTCTCTGATAACAACACTGCCTCTGTTAGTCCTGTCTGGTATCATCCACATGCTGTGGAGTATATTTACAACGGCAGCTAAAAGGTAAGCCCTGTTCTCTAAATGGACACAATGAAATGCTTGCAGATACGCTTTAGGAATAGTCTTAATACTTCATTCCTTCTTCATTTCTGTATTCTCATCTGTTCTTAAATATTTAGAAAAGTACAATGGAAAAGCTATCACTGGTGTTTTGTAAAAAACAGACATACACCTTGAACACACAAGGAAGAAACAAGAGATGAACAAAACCTCACTTTTTCTTCTGTAATTGCAAATCTGTACCTGAGAGAGTCTTGTACAATATGGAAGAGTTTACAGGGAAACAGAGAAACAGTTTATGTATGACTAATAAAATGTTTCTCTTGTAAAATCTTGTGTGATTCATCAGATATATAAAAAAAAAAAAATAGAACATCCTTGCTAATTTTACTTCTGCTGTTTTCCCTAAATTTCAGCTAAGGTAAAAAAAACAAACCAGAACAAAACAAAACACACACAACAACACTGAAATGTGAGTTCCTATCAAGCAATGTGTTCCAACTACAATGAAGTGCTATTGGAGGAAGTTTTCTGCACAGACTAGGCCTACAAAATCTTGACTGCACCTTCTGTCAGGGAGTGTTTGTCTCTGGTAAATAACAGCTGAGTTCTTCAACGTAGAATTAGAGTCCCCACATCTTTCTATCTTCTTAAAATTGCATAGCAAAAGCCTCTCATCAGGCAGAAACAGCCTGCCCCCAGGGAAATAACTATGAAGTCAGGAGGACAGTATTATGGATACTGTGTTCTAGGAAAGCTCGATTTTAAAAAGCAGAAGCCAGTTGTAAACACTGACCTGCACAGATCCTGCAAAACTAAACAGAAGGACATACCTGTGCTTGAAAGTGGAGCTGCCCCTTTATTTTTCTTTTCCATGTTGGTCTCCACTGAAATTCCTGTGTGTTAGGAGTGCTAATTTCATTCCTTCAGGAATGCAGAGGGCTTCTGATGGAGGAAGTAATATTTTCTCCACTCAGCATAAGTACTTAACGTTAGTACCTCCAGGAGTCACTACCTGTACAGCACCAAACTGGGCTGTGTTTTCTCTCCACAAAGGGAGAAAAGAAATGTAGTGAGAAGAGGCAGTGTTAGTCTGGTTAATTTTCAAGGTTATATTGAATCTCTATTACCCTGAAGGAAAAACTACTCCTTAACTCTTGCTCCTTTAAACTGAAACAGCCTTTGCTGGACATTGGTTTGTTCCACTTGCTTGACTATGATCCCAACTTCCATAAAATGGGAGGCGAGACTTTAATGTCTTCAGAGCTTGTGCTTACTATAAAGCTTAAACAATACAGAAACAAAATTATGCAACTTTTTTCTTAGGGCATACAGAGCTTCTGAACGAAGAATAAAAAACAAAACACATCACCAAAAAAAAAACCAACCAACCAAAAAAAAAAAAAACAAACCCACAACCAACCAAAAACAAACATACAACCACAAAACAAACAGGGAAAAAAAGAAAAAAAAAAAAGAAGCGCAAGAAGATCCACTATCCCCTACTGCTAATGACTTCTAAACCAGCATAAGAACTTGAATCAGCAGGTCCAGCACTGGCCCCTGAAGGAAAACTCTCCTTTCTCAAAAGGTGTGGCACACTTAGTAGATGAGCTCAGGTAGCAATTCATATCGCACTCAACAGGGAACTTTCTTCTGGAATACTCAAAGTACAGGAGGCAAGAATAATGACTACATTCCTCTGGACTGGCTGAGTTCTCCTTATGCAAACACTTACAGAACCAGGAATTTCCAGGGTATCTCCAACTCCAAGCTGTGTATTTATAGTGTCCCAGTTCTATAAATTTAAAACCAAATTTCATCACTGTAATGGCCTTTCGTAATATGAGATACAGAGAGCAGATAGGATCTGCTGCAATGCACTACTTTAAATGCTGAAACATCCTCGTGATTGAAGCATTTCCAAGAAAGTTTCTGAAATCAGAAGACTGTCTCTCCTCTCCCCATGACTTTAAAGAATTATACGTTGATAACTGTGCAGCTGAAAGCGAGTACAAGGAGATTACATAGTGAATCAACAAACCCCAAAGCTCTAAACTCATAGATAAAATCACTCAGGTGGGATAGAAGAAAATTGACAAGCAATGCCAGTATTTTTGATTTGCTTTTTACGGAGCAATGCTTCCTTAAACTTACTAACAAACCTGAATATCTAGGCTCCAACTCTGGGTATTAAACTAAAATCAAATCAAACCAGATGACAAAGCAAACCCAAAGCAGAACCCTTTCTAATACAATAAAAAGAGATGATGTTGCATGAAGTGAATGGAAGGACTCTTGTTGGGGCATGGAAACCAGGTTCACACGGGAAGCTCAAGCTAAGGATGTTACCTAGCATACACATGGCTTACTCAGAGCTATTTAACAGGTTTCTCTTTCTAAAAACTAGCTTTCCAAGGAAATACAAACAGAAGGCCTACAGCTGGGGAAAAAAGAAAAAAAAAAAAAGACACGTTCATTTCCATAATCCAGTTTACGATTAAGCCTTTTAAATCTGAAAGGACAAAAAGAACAGGTTTTATGAAATCTTTTTGTACATATCCCTTATTTGCATACCCTGTGGTTCTTTTGTTATCTCCCTGATAAAAAGTGTGATCTGGCTTTAACCAACACTGGCCACAACAAGATTTGCACACACGAAAAAAGTCACCACATGCGAATATGTGATACCAGCAGTGTCTTGACTGCTGCTCCTATTTCTTCTTGTAACAGCAGCTTCCTATTTCTTCTTGTAACTTATTCACTTCTGCTGCTCACTCTGCACACCATGGTTAATAAAAATCTAACAGGAACTAAGGTCCTAATCAGAAACTTTTTGTAAAACATACAGCTTTACTTCCTCTTAAGAAAAATTTCTTAAGCTGCTCTTTAGTTCTCATCATAGCCTTTTATAAAATCCTATTTTTTCTGTTTCATTCAGGCAATACACGTGTATACTGCTATTTATCAACTAATAACCAAGATACAAGGACTAAGTGCCTCCTCAAGCCAGAGTTTCCCAACTTGTCTTTTTAACACTTCTTATTCTTCACAGATACACATTTTCTATATGATTTTCATTACTCACATCCCACACTGAGTTACTGTACTATGCCAGTACTGATATAAGAACTATCTAGAGAAGGCATGAACCTACAGGGAGATTATTTCTGGGGGGGGAGGGGGGGGAAAAAAAAAAAAGACAAGAAATCTGGCAAAGCCTATTGCAGACACAGTTTTATGTATTTTATATTTCTCTTCCTTAAAGAATAAACGCTTCTGAAGAACAGCAGCAAATGACCACAGAAATTTCTTATTTACTGATGCTGATCCCAACAGCTGCCTGTGGCCTAACCCCATTAACATCACTGCTTGGGAAGTTGGAGGGGGCAGCAGTGGCAGGAAAATGGCTGGAAGGTCTTAACATTAATGGCGCTGTGTAACACCTCGTGTGCTTCAAACACCTGTTGAAATAAAACTGCACTTTCAAACCTGCCTCTGTGTAGAAGGCGCGTTGTTTCTGTGATGCTGCTCTGGTGGCTCAGGCACAGTTCTGGCCGCACATTTGAGCCGCGGTTCTCCTAAGAGCGCTCCAGAGCATGGCCTTTGGCCGGGCATGGGCTGCCCTCGCTTACCAGAGCTGCTGCTTGCTGGCACCTGGCCCCGGCCACTGACCTGGAGGAGATCCTGGAGATCCTGGCCACCACGGGCAGGGTGGGGATTTACTGGGTCCCCTCTGGCTGTCCTTTTTCTACCAAAGATTTCCTCAGACTTCTTGGGAGCACACCTCTCCTGCTGATGCTCCTGTGAGGACAGGCATAGACGAACAACCTTTAGGTCCAGTGACAAGACTGCTGTGACATCCTGGTGCTTACCGTGACGTGCAGCAGCCTCAAAGAGGCTAAGAAAGCACTCCAGGACAGCACACATGCTACTGGAAACTATGGAAGTACTTCACTGATACAGGAGGTCTCAGGTTTTAAAGTAAATTATGTCTATGCAGACAGTAGTATGGATCTCAGCCCTGTGTTGGCCTTTCGTTTCTCGTCACACAATTTCTTCCTGAGATGAGGCTCTGCGGAAGATATGGTGAGGGAAGGGCATTTTGAGGGAGGAAAGGCTGTGGCTTTGCATGCTGTCAGCACTTCCTCTTCTTTCTACTTCTTTCCTCCCCATCCATCTTCCTGAGCACTATTTAGAGTTAAGAAGCAAGAGAACTGAAAAGGATGAAGACTCTCTCCTCTTTTTCGCAGAAAGTACTAACCTTCCTGACGATCACGTCTTTTCTAGGAGAAATAACAGGTATGCTTTCTCTTCACATAAATCATTCAAATTTTCTTATTTCTCACTTCAGATATTTGTAAGCTTTTTTTTTTCCCTTCTTTGTTGCTTTAAGTACATTTGGTAGAAGTATCTGAATGCAGAAGTATCTGAATGCACTCGATCAAGCAAGTGGCTATGGCCATGCTTCCACTCCTGAAGGGCTGCGTTTAACAGCTGTCTCAAGAGTACTTCCCTGCCTCATAGCAGCTCTGTGAGAAAGAACTGATGTGCTGATGGACAGGTGAATGGGGGAAGAGGAATGAGGGAAGGCTTTGAACAAGCTACAGAGTGACTTGGAAATGTCAGAGCACTAACCCCAGGGTCAGGGCTTTAGCAAGTACCCTTTAGTACATAGGAAACTGTAAGCAGCTGAGGCAGGATGTCAATGATAATATTTCTTCTTGCAGCTGTCTATCATTTCCTCCAGTTACTCCAAGTGTTGATAAGTAGACATAATATTTATTGAGAGTTTTCCCAGCCAAAGTGACAGACAACTTGCAAACACTATCTTTTTTAATTGATTCGTTTTCAGTTTTGCTTTTTCTAGGGTATTACAAAAGTATGAGACTGTAAAGGTCAATTACTTTGCCTCAACACACCCTGCCAGTGTTGGTTATGCATATCCGGCCCTATTTAAAACTTTGCAGCTAACTGGGGGGACTTGACTTCAATGCACTAGAATCCCCCAGTGTATTAAGAAAAAAATTAAATATGTATTGACATACACTGTTGGCTATGTTTGATACCTGCTCCATAAAAATATCAAAGGTGGATTCTAGTTTTACATATGTGTAGTTCCAGCTGCCTGCATTAAACGTTTGCAGAAGCAGAGGATTGCACTTGTGCCCTGCAAGGTACAAACAGCAGGCTAAATCCGTCATGCAAAACATAGTGGCTGATCGCAGCTGTTACTTCTCTAGTTAAACTATGTGGCCTTTTTAAAGTACAGAAATGTCTGTCTGTACCCTATTTTCATCTAGTAGCACTAATGTGTCCAGAAGCGTTCAC